TCCTGGGCATCAGACCTCAAAGAGTTATATTGGTCTTGAAAAGTGTAAAGCACAGACTCAACACAATGAAACTGGGACTAACAGTTAAATGATGAGGACAGATTGCATAGATAAGAGATTACAAGGTGTGGAGCTGGATGAACACAGCAGGCCAAGCAGCATCAGAGGAGCAGGAAAGCTGACATTTCGGGTCTGGACCCTTCTTCAGCTGCTTGGCCTGCTGTGTTCATCCAGCTCTACACCTTGTTATCTCAGATTCTCCAGCATCGGCAGTTCCTACTATCTTTGCATAGATAAGAGTTGTGTTTCTTTGAGAATGATGGATTTAATGGGGGTATAATTTGATAGACTGGGCAGAGATAAACTACTTTTCCTGGTTGGGGAAACGATAGAACAAGGGAGTACGCACTTGTAATTATAACTAAACTGTTCTGGAGTGATGTAGATTTACTATTTTCAGTTAAAAATCTGAATACACCAGCAGCTTATTTAAATAATCTAGTTGATTCATCACTGAGAATGGCAGATACCTTCTCTACTTTCCCCTTGTGGTAATCTCTATCACCTGAAAATTACCACTAGAATGCATTTACATTTTTGCACAGAGATGTTCTCCTTGCAATCTCATTGTGATCTCTGAAAGAGAGCAGTATTGCTAATGTCAGAACTTCACTATCAAAGACAAACAAACAACTTTTGAAACAATCTTAATTTAGTTCATTGTAATTGAAGTAACTTTACCATTCAGATGTGGGTGGCTGAGCAGACTGTCACAACCAGTTCCTGTACACCTGCAAACTAATATTGTTACACATGCAGCCTGTGGTATTGGAACAAACATTCTTTCCAATGCAACCCCGCATTGTGCCAAAGTTGACTGAAGTGATTTGGAGAGGGGTGAACGGAAATTTTTTTTATTCACTTGCGGGAGATGGATATCGCTGGCTTGACAGCTTGTTATTGCATGTCCCTAGTTGCCCTTGAGAAGGCGGTGGTGAGTTGCCTTCTTGAACTATTGTGAGTAGACCCACAATGCCCTTAGAGAGGGAATTCCAGGATTTTGACCCAGTGACAGTGAAGGAATGGCAATATATTTCCCAGTCAGGATGGTGAGTGTCATGGAGGGGAACGTGAAGGTGGTGGTGTTCCCATGTATCTGCTGCCCTTGTCCTTCTAGATGGAAGTGGTCGTGGGTTTAGAAGATGTCTGAAGATCTTTGGTGAATTTCTGCAGTGCATCTCGTAGATAGTAATCACTGCTGCTACTGAGCGCTGGTGGTGGAGGGAGTGGATGCTTGAGGATGAGATGCCAAACAAGCAGGCTGCTTTGTCCTGGATGGTGTCAAGCTTCTTGAGCATTGTTGGAGCTGCACCCATCCAAGAAAGTGGGGAGTATTCCATCACACTCCTTACTTGTGCCTTGTAGATGGTGGACAGGCTTTGTGGAGTCAGGAGGTGAGTTATTTGCTGCGTTCCTAGTTTCTGGCCTGCTCTTGTAGCCACTGCGTTTATGTGACAAGTTTCTGGTCAATGGTAACCCCCAGGATGTTGATAGTGCGTCATTCAGTTATAGTAACACCATTGAATATCAAGGAACAGCGATTAGATTGTCTCTTATTGGTGATGGTCATTGCCTGGCATTTGTGTTGTGCAAATGTTACTTGCCACTTGTCAGCCCAAGCCTGGTTTGTCCAGATCTTGTTGCATTTGAATATTGACTGCTTCAGTACCGGAGGAATGGTGGATGGTGCTGAACATTGTGCAATCATCAGTAAACATCCTCACTTCCGACTTTATGATGGATGGAAGGTGAAGCAGCTGAAGATGATTGGGCCTAGGACACTATCCTGAGGAACTCCTGCAGAGATGTCCTGGAGCTGAGATGATTGATATCCAACAAGTACAACCATCTTCCTATGTGTCAGGTATGACTCCAACCACCGGAGAGTTTGCCCCCTGATACCCATTGATTCCAGTTTTGCTTGGACTACTTGATGCCACACTTGGTCGAATACAGTGTTGGTGTCAAGGATTGTCACTGTCACTCTCACCTCACCTCTGTAATTCAGCTCTTTTGTCCATGTTTGAACCAAGGCTGGAATGAGATCAGGAGCTGAGTGGCCCTGGCGGAACCCAAACTGGGTGTCGCTGAGCAGGTTATTTCTGAGCAGGTGCTGCTTGATAGCACTGTTGATGACACCTTCCATCACTTTGTTCATGATCCAGAGTAGACTGATGGGGCGATAATTAGCCAGGTTAGATTTGTCCTGCTTTTTATGTACAGGACATATCCGGGCAGTTTTCTACATTGTCTGATAGATACCAGTGTTGTAACTGCACTGAAATAACTTGGCTAGGGGCAGCAAGTTCTGGAGCACAAGTTTTCAGTACTATTGCCGGAATGTTGTCAGGGCCCGTAGCCTTTGCAGTATCCGGTGTCTCCAACTGTTTCTTGAGATCACGTGGAGTGAATCGAATTGGCTGAAGACTGGTATCTGTAATGCTGGGGATCACTGGAGGAGGCCGAGATGGATCATCCACTCAGTACCCCTGGCTGAAGATTTCTGCAAAAGCTTCAGCCCTGTCTTTTTCACTGATGTGCTGGGCTGTATTGAGGATGAGGATATTTGTGGAGCCTCCTCCTCCTCCAGTGAGTTGTTTAATTGTCCACCACCATTCACGACTGGATGTGGCAGGAAGAAGGTGTTTGCTATACTTGCCTTAATTGGCCAGTGTATTGAGTGTAGGAGTTGGGAGGTCATGTTGTGGCTGTACAGGACGTTGGTAAGGCCATTATTGGAATACTGCATTCAATTCCTGTCTCCCTGCTACAGGAAGAATGTTGTGTAACTTGAAAGGGTTAAAAAAAAATCTACAATAATATTGCCAGGGTTGGTGGGTTTGAGCTATAGGAAGAGGATGAATAGACTGGGACTATTTTCCCTGGAGCATTGGAGGCTGAGGGGGTGACCTTATAGAGGTTTATAAAATCATGAGGAGCATGGACAGAGTAAATAGAAAAGGTCTTTTCACTGGGATGGGGGAGTCCAAAACTAGGGGCCATAGGTTTAACATGAGAGGGGAAAGATTTAAAAGGGACTTATAGGGCAACTTTTTCATGCGGAGGGTGGTGCGTATATAGAACGAGCTGTCAGAGGAAGTGATGGAGGGTGGTACGATTACAACATTTCAAAGGCATCTGGATGAGTAAATGAATAGGAAGGGCTTAGAGAGATATGCGCAAAATGCTGGCAAATGGGACTAGATTTATTTATGATATCTGGTCATCATGGATGAGGTGGACCAAATGGTCTGTTTCCATGCTGTATACTCTATGACTGCAGAGCTTAGATCTGATCCGTTGGTTGAGGGATCGCTTAGCTCTGTCTATCCCTTGCTGCTTGTGCTGTTTGGCATGCAAGTGTCCCGTTTGATGGCTTCACCTGGTTGACACCGCATTTCCAGGTATGCCTGGTGCTGCTCCTCACATGCCCTCCTGCACTGTCCATTGAATCAGGGTTGATCCCCTGGCTTGATAGTAATGGTTGAGTGGGGAATATGCCAGGCCATATGATTGCAAATCATACTGGAGTACAATTCTGCTGCTGTTGATGGTCCACAGCACCTCATGGTTGCCCAGTCTTGAGTTGCTGGATCTGTTCAAAGTCTGTCAATTGTTAATAGTTACTCCTCTGGAGGGAGACGGCTATATTTCACTCATATTTTATGAATGTGGTCAAAAATAATTTGTTACATCTGAACAAAGAATGTGTTATACTTCGACAGAAGCCGAAAGAATGATGCCAGAAATGATCAGTTATGTGGAGAAATTGGTGTTGTTCTGAGAGCAGAGAAAGTTAATGCGGATTATTGAAAATTAAGTGGGATTTAAATAGCATACATTGGGGGAAAGTGATTCTATTGGTGGCTGGTATCTGACCAGAGGACATAGATTCAAGTTAATTGTTAAAATGATTGAGTGGGAGATGAGGAGATCCCTTCTATCCAGAAAATTTTATGATCTAGCATCACTGCCTGAAAATATGATGGAAACTGAATCAAAATTGACTTTCAAAAGAGAATTGGATAAGTATTTGAAGAAGAAAAATGGATAAGAATAGAAGAGTAGGACTAATTGGATAGCTCTTATAAGGAGCTAGATCCAGTGTGCTAAGTCAAATGGAAACGTGCAAACTAGGAATAGTCCACTAAACCCTTCAACCTGCTCCACCATTCAAGATGATCACGGCTGATCCTTTATCTTAATGCCATATTCCTATTTTCATGTCTTTAAAATCTAAAAATTTATCAATCTCCTGTTTGCATAGATTCAGTGACCCAGCCTCCATTGTCTTGTGTGTTAGTGAATTCCACAGAGAATGAAAATGTTTCCTCATTTCAGAACCAACTGGCCTACTCTGTATCCGAAGACTGTGTCCCCTACTCCTAGACTCCAAAGCCAGGGAAAACATTCTCCCTGCATCTATCTGTTAAAAGGTTATATGTTTCAATCAGACCCCCTGTTATTCTCCTCAACTCTGGTGAATATAGGCCTAGTTAAACCACTCTCTTCTCATATGACAAACTCACCATCCTCGGTGCAAACTAGTGAATCTTTACCGCACTCCTCCAGTGCTACCAGATTTTGTTTTATAATTCTTTAACAGAACAGAATCCAGAACAAAGAAACATTGATATTTTGGGTGAAACGGAGGAAGGCTTTGTGTCCATCTGTTTTGCCTTTCACTAACCCCATCAAAACTCACAGGGTTAAGAGTATTATGCGTGGAATGGAAGGAATGTGCGCCATTAGACTTATCCAATGTGACAGTTCTGCCTTACAGTCCCCTGCCCCACCCCTACCTCAGTACTTTAGAATAGGGAAAATTAAAGTAGAATTGTGAAGCAAGTCATACATTCTCTAGAAGAGTTAAGACTTGCTCTAGGTTCATATATAATACAAACAAAATCATTTTTTATTTCTCCGATTCATTTCAACAGGTTATTCATCACAAAAAAATGAAACAGCCACATCAGTGATTCATGCAACCCAGTCAGCTCAAACAGAGAAAAACAGATTTGTTCCATTATCAACAGCAATCACTCATCATGATCTCTGTACTAACAACTGCCTCACATTACAAGTGAATAATCAAGTGTCATCAACAATTCCACAAAATACATCCACAACAAGATTCCTGGAAGCTTTCCACAAAGGAAACGCTGCAAGCACGAAGACAACCAATGAACACCTACAGATTTCTACATCTGCGTCGATCTCCCCACCAGTGACTAAAAATATTTCAAAGACACCCACGGAGAACAACAAAGTAATTCTGATGATTGTGCTTCCAATTCTGGGTCTTGCTTTGGTTGGTTTAGTGATAGCCTTCCTGATAAATCATACTCATGAGAAAAAACAATGTAAGCAATAACGTTTTGTTTTATTGATTTGCTTAACCAAACGTAATGCGAAATAATGTTATATTTAAATGAAGAAACAGCAAACAGGCAAAAAGAAAAGTTGGTCTATAAAGGAGAAAATGTTATTATTCTTGAAGAAGCATGTTCTCAGTTTGGTTTTGAGGGATCATTGATTTTACTTCCCAGTGAAGTCAATGCAAAGTAAACCTGGGCAGCGTGCGCAGACAGGCAACCATGCTGTCCCAGTCACTTCTCAATCCCGAACGTTTGGTTAAAAATATCCCCCAGTGTCATAGAGTCATAGAGTCTCACAGCCCTTCACTCTAACTCATCCATACTGACCAGGAATCCCAAACTGAACTAGTCCCATTTGCCTCAGAGATAGTAGGAACCTCCGTTTGGCCCATATCCCTTTAAACCTTTCCTATCCATGCACCTGTCCAAATGCCTTTTAAATGTTGCAATTGAACCCACCTCTACCACTTCCTCTGGCAGCTCCTTCCATATATGCACCTGTGTGAAAAATTACCCCTCAGGTCACTTCTAAATCTTTCCCCTCTCGCCTTAAATGTATGCCCTCTAGTTTTGGACTCCTCTACCATGGCAAAAAGACTTTGGCTGTTTGCACTATCCATGCCCCTCATGATTTATGAAGCTGTATACTACAGATGCTGGAAAGCTGAAAATTTTGAATGCCTGGGTAGAGTGGGTAAAGCAGCACCCTACTTCCATCTCTCCTTCCACATGCTCCTGCTGCAAGCAAAGTCATGGGAGATCCATTAGAATGAACGAACAGATCCTCTTGGTTTGGATTACCTGTTTGTTTGAACGACCTTTTTTGAAAATGAATTTTGAAATGTTATACTCATGTTGACTGTAATATCTTTTCCTTTCTAGTTGCAATGTCCCTATAATCACACGTAAATAAACTTAATTTTAACTCAAAGGCAACAGCAAGAGATGGGCCAACAGTGTGGGCTGCAGGTTCATCAACTTCTAAGTTGAATTTAAATATGATAGGGCCATTTCCTCCTCAGCCTAGCACCAATGGCGTCAGCGCAGTGAATGAACAAACAAAAGAATTGGGCCAGGAATCTATGGTAATCGTTCTTTTTTGATGTTTTCCAGGCAATATTCAGTTAGAGACTGGGAAGGGCTTTAGGCTTCACTTGTGGTGGTCAGAATAGCACTACTGTCCCATCTGACCAAACAAATTTAAAAAACAAAATCAATTGCTCATGTTTTTTTTAGGCCCCTGTTCTGTGCCAGCTACTTCATGCCAATTGCTTTTATTGAGGCTGGCACAGGATGCCAACAAAGCTGTTCCTAGTTATGTTGGGAAGACAACAACAGATTTCAATTCCTGAATTTCAGAGTGGCCCTGTTTTGCCTAATGAATATTTGCTGATTAGCAAGTATGAGGATAGTACAGGAGAAAGGCATTGAGATGGGTGAACAGCTATAATCTAGAATGGCAGGCTCAGTGGTTTGAATGGTCTTCCCCTGCTCCTGTGTTTCCTAATTCCTTTGTTTCTATGCCTCTGTTAAAAAGGCACGTTGCATGCAAATGAGGATCAAATGGGTAAGTCTCCGTAGAAACTGCAGCACATTCCTTTTTTTGTAGCCTGTGAAGGGTTGAAATGAGGACTATATAATTCTAAATAACAGTTGAAAGACTGAACTCATTGTAATAGGAACTGTTGTTAAGATTTTTTTTCAAATCTCTGAGGATGCTGTTGTTTATATCCATTCATAGAATATATAATACTCGTTAAATATTATACAATTCGCAATTATTTAGTGCAGTCAGAAGAAAACAACCCATTATGGAACATTCTCAAAGGGATTGAGAGTGAAATATATAACAAGCTCTTGATAAGGTGACACCTGGTCTTCAGTGGCCAATCTGTCCCAGATCCTTATGTATTAAGAAAGCTTTGAACTAACAATCCCCGCACTTTGCCAAATGCAGCTTTTTATTCTCACCAGTTTTCAAGCTACATTTTTCTCTCTCTAATCAAACAATTTTGTGTCTTCAAAGCAGTTGTACATTTAGGAGGCTCATTTCTGAATAATCAGGAGACCAAGAACTGCATTTAGTCAGTATGTTATTGAAGATACAACTCCTTGGATAAATGGGAATATACATTTTGAAATTCTTCTTTAAAAATATCAATGGCTGATCTAGATAGGCCCAAATTCTGGAACTTTCTTACAGTGTAAAGACAAGCTATTCTGAACTTTTCTAACAACTAACTCAATGTCATTTCCACATCATATTGCTTACCAACACAGAGGAATTTTCATCGGTCTGGGCTGGATTTATACCCAGGTGGAATGGCAGTATAGTTACTCAGTACCACATACAGCTCACATCCTTTTAAAAACACAACACAAAAATCTAATTGACTAATTCTACAAACTAATTGGAATAAATCAGTTTTCATCAGTTATATTCTCAGGTATTCTTAGATAGTTGTATGCAACTATGGCTATCTCAAAATCCGGGCTATTCATTCAGGGATTTGGTGTGTCATTGTCTCCAGTATTCTCCATTACTCAGAGGCACTGATTCTTAGTGACATATAATTCTACAACTGCTTGCCATCATTCCCTACTTCACAGCAACAGTTGAGCAGACGGACAGTATCAGCAGATGTATGGGTGTGTCAGTGTTGCTGAGATTCATCTGATACCAGTGCCAAATGCCTCATTTCAACCTGCTGTATGCAAAAGAAAAACTCAGGGAAGGCACAGGCTCAGAAAAGGGGCGACTTACACCCCCCTTGGCATTGTGCTCCTGTTTGTTCCCATTTTAATTCAGGAGCTGTCAGAGGATATCTTTGCAGGTAGGTGAGGGCCTGAGACACACAGCAGAGCAGAAGCGCTGGCATGATTTAATCTGCAGTTGCTGCAGTCACATTCAGAGGCAGAGCCACCAGAAAAACCTACAAACAGGATTGGCACCAAAAAAAACAGAAGCCAGCATTTGTATATTTAATGGTTTCCTTGAGTGCAGTGCAAAGGAAGGAGTGTCAGCAACACACTGACTTTTGCAGCCAGAATCTGGCAGCGAAGTGCCCCCCTCCCGGAAGGGTTTTGAGTTGCCGCTATGTTTTCTTTAAGCTTTCCTGTAATTGAAGTGGCCAGTTAGATTTTCATAAATGAACACTTCACCACATTTGTGCAGCGGGTGCCTCAAGAGCTGTAGCACTCCAACAATCCCAAACATGTTCACAATTTGAAATATTCTTGGGGAGGGATTGGGGATGAGACCTTGTGGGACTGACAATTTACTACCTCAGGAAAATAATATATTACCAAATTTAACTTTAAGGGGGACAACATCATCAAAAAAAAATCAAGAATTCAATTTAGGAAGAAAACACATGTTACATTCATTTTCAACCAGCCAGTGTCTATATTAAACTCAGTTTTGGTTTCTGAGAATACCAGCAATGACGGAACTGGTTTATGCTTTGGTTTCATTTCAAAGTTAACCTTTCACCTTCTACAGGTGTCAACAATCTCCCAGTCAAAAGATGTAAGAATAAGCTCAATGCTAGGTTGAGTGTGGCAGCTCAGTTGGTAGTACTCTGAGTTAGAAGAATTCAGCTTCAAGTCTCACTCCAGGGTGTAAGCAGAGAAATCGAAATTGAGGGAGCACTACACTGTTGGAGTTGCTGCACTGTTGGAGGCGCTGTCTTGTATAGAACTTAAACTGAGAGTCGATAAGGTGGATGTAAGAGATTCAATGTGTTACTTTGAAGAAGAGCAGGGGAGATTCCCATGGTGTTTTGGCCAATATTCACCTCAGTCAATATCAGAAGCAGGTTGGCCCTGACATTCTGATGCCCAGGCCATTTTCTCAGTAGTGTAGATTTTCGAGCTACATGTTGGGCCATGCAGAATTCCTGACTCATTGCATTCTGCCAGAATTGCCCAGATTCCTTACAGTAAATACACCGCATCTGGACAAGTCCTCAACTTCAATTTCAAATTGGAGAATTTGGAGGGTTCAAACTCATTCAAGCAAAGAATGGTTAAAGGGTTAAAAACCTGCTCTAACTGATGGGTATTTATTTAACTGATCTCTTAATATTCACCTCCCCCATAAAGAAACCCTGACACCCACCTCACTACCCCCAACACTGACCCCCAGCCCCACATACTCAAACCCCACACACTCACCCCACCCCGACATATTCACCCTACACACTGACCCCCACATCCACACACTCACCCCCACCCCCACATACTGACCCCCAGCCCCAAACACCAACCTCCACCCCCACACACCAACACCCACCCCTAACAC